TTCCTTTCGTGAGTTTTAATTATACAAAAATGGAAGTAAAACCAAATAAATTTGTAATAGATGAAAATATTGTATCACACAATTTTAGGGTTGGGATGAATAAATGATAAGAATATAAGAATTGGGAATAATCTTTTTTCCTTAAATAATTCTTGCAATATCAGTTGAATTGGATGATTATAAAGTAAAAGAACAAACCAAATCAATTTAATTGGATTATATTTTTTTTATCCTAATTGATCCAATTAAATAATGATTGTAATCAGTTTTTTGGATTGGTTTCGATATTAACACCTCTAAAGTTAAGGGATAAATAAAATAGTGAGATTGATGATCAAATTGTAGAACTCTAAAATCTAAGAATTAAACTGAAAAATTCTAGAAAGTTGAGGACCAACATTGTTGTTTTACCATACAGAAAAGAGACATGGACATATTTCAAACTATTGGTGAGAGTGTACGCAGTATTCACATGTCTTCTCTTTTTGTTTTTTTGTTTTTTTTTTTTTTCTTGTTTTTCTCTTCTTTTGTTTTTTTATTGATATAATAGAAAATAAACAATTAGGAAGATATTAAAAAAAGGGTCAAGTCAAATTCTATAATAAAAATTAATAAAAATCAAATCATGTTAAGATTGTATTGTAATACTTAATTAATGTACATAGAAAAGTATTGGCCAGCTAAACCCTTAAAAAATTAAGAAAAATACTCTAAAATCATATCATTTCAATAAACTCTTATTGAAAAAAACTACAATAACTTATTTTTAAACCATGAGTGAGTTTGTTCTAATTTTTTCTCATAGGACTTTAATAAAATGATATAGTTTTAAACTATTTTTCTTAATTTTTTTGAAATCTAGCTAAAAAACGCTAATCTCATGATTTGAACTACTCTTTAGTATGTATTTTTTTAAAAAGCCCTGTTAGGCATTTATTGAGTATTATTTTAAGCCCCATTGGGTATTTCAATATTTGTTTGAAAACTTTAAGGGAAATTTTATTGTTACAACAATTTATATGGGTTAATACTTATCCATCATAGTTTTTAAAAAATTATGTGTAAAATCACTTTAAAACAACATTGTTTTAATAAAGTAGTATGAGAAAAACTAAAAAAATCTAATTCATACTTTAAAAATTAAATGTTTTAGTTTTTTAATGAAAATTTAATGATATATAGTTAAGATTATTATTATTATTATATATTTTTTAAATGGAGACCTATATAATATTTTAATACCCAAAGTTATTGCAAACGAAAATTTTAAAAAAAAAACCCAAAAAAATGTTTTCCACTTAAATACTTGAAGTAATTTTTAGATTTACTTCCCCAAAGTTATAAATTAGTAGCATTATATATCAAACTCTCTTGCAAGTTATTTAGATATATCTATTTGTCTTTTAAAATAAGGAAAAAATTATTATTTAAAATAAATTAAAATATAAAATATATAAAAAAATGTGATATTAAATAATTGATTTATGGATATCGTAATAAGTTGAAGAGATCTTTTAATACTTTGTGATAAAAATTTGTAAAACTAAATTATTCAACTAAACCTAATTTATTTGATTTAAAATGTAACTAATTGTAAGATTAAAATTAAAAAAATACATAAATATATAAAGCAAAAAAATAACCATTACAAAAATAGCCTCTAATAGAATAAAGATAAAAAAAATTTCCACACAAATGAAAAAAAGGATACAAATTAAGTAAAATATATTTATAAAATAGACAATTTTACAAAAATTACACTATTTGCCATTAATTAAAGAGGGTAGAGTTAAATCTACCCTCCTTATACTATTTAAGATGGCGCCATACATCTTCTAAGGAAAGCAACAAGCAATTTTAAGTTATAATGTCGCACAAGATCTTATGGGTCAATTGTTAGATATACCTAATGTCTTGACAATGATTAAAGTTCAAGTTGTGACATGTCATGCTAAAAATATCCCATCCCCCTACCCCTCAATTATACCATTAAAAAAAGAGTTATGATGTCATAATTGTGAAAAGACAACTTGAAATAAAAAAGTACTTAACAAAACCTCAAAAGGAAAGGGAACAAAGAAATTATGCATCCAACTAAAGTAAGGAGTATACAACAATTAACTTGGTGCATGAACCAAAACATGCAATTATAGCCAATCATGATATAGGCTGGTTCTAAAAGGTTCGAGCAGTGAACTGAATTTGTGTGCTTAGAACCTTCGCTTCGAGGTTTAGCACCTGTTTCCCCAATTTTCTTACTCCATAAAGTACTCTTAAGTACCCTTGACTTCACTTTACAAGGAATATTCTTAAATTTAATTTAATGGGAGTAAGATCGATAAGAAGGAAATATGAGTAGTAAATATTTAACTACTTTATCGATTTCCTAGTACGAGCTTTGTTTTGATGTTCCTTTTCAAAGTGGTAGCATTTAATGCTAAGATCATGCTTGTGGCATTCTTTAGTAAAGTCTTCTCTAATTTTTTTTTATCCCTTTTTCATTTCATTCTATAGAGATTTGTTGCTACGGAAATGTTGCAGTCTACTTTCTGCTACGAAGAAACTTCTCCAAAAGGACATCCCTTGCCATGCTTTTACAATGGTAATTATTATAAAAATGCTGGGCAAATATTGCAGGGAGAGGATGTGAGAAATGAACATTCATGTGTAATCATGTATTATGAGGATTATGTACATGCAGCGGCACAGATCAAGTTAACCCATCAAATGAAATATGCCTTAAAAGTTCTACACGTAACAAATATTGAGTCACAAACGAAGGTGATTTATCCTTTCTTTAAGGAAACTATGTCTCAATGGTTTAGTGATGTGAACTTGCCTAACTACCAGCTGCCTGGGAGCATGGGGTACGGTGAATGGATGAAGACTGAAGTAATGCCAAAGATTCGGTATGCCTTTCTATTTATTTCTTTCGGTTTTATTTCATTGGTATAGTTTTTTTTTTTTTTTTGATTTATTTTGCATTTCCAGGGAACTTTGGAAATTACTACATGAAATGAAGGAGAAAAATATAGAGATTCGTATGGAAAGGAATGATGACCTAGGACATTACATGCCTTTAATTGAGAAAGAGCTTAAGCATTTTAACCAACGAGATGGGGTGTTTGTATCAAAAGTCAAGTCTCTGCCTAGGCTTTTAAAGTTACAAGAAGGTAAGTTGTTTCTGCATTTTTTTTTTCTCTTTATTATTAGCATTTTTTAAATTTTGAATTATTTAACTAGACTCTAAAACCACGCGCTCACACTAGCATGGTTGTTTATAATGTAATTTTTTATAATTATTAAATAAAATAATATTGATTCATAATTAAAATTAATTTTTAATTAATAAATTTAATAGTCATTTCAAACATATATGTAACTTTCATATTAATTAAAATTTTTTGAGATAAATATAATAAAATAGTTAATTAAATCTTACTATTTTTTTTTATATTTGCATGTATTTTTTATTTTTATTTTTTACCTCAATTTGTCTCCTCTTTCTTGAATGCTTTTATTAAAAGGTTTTATGTTAAAATATAAAAGACTTAACTTATTAGTATAATTCTTTTGATACTTTTTTATTTACATATACTCCACTTTTTATTAATTTTTTTATGACACTATCTCATAACTTACCTCCACTTATTCTATCATTCTATTTATCAGTCTGCCTATATTTCGTCTCACTTTAATTTTCTCTTTTTATATTAACAAATTTATTTGTTATTATTCTTTTGCCCCTATCATATCACTTTTTTAAATCACTTCTTGCACCTCTATAGATTATTACATATATTTTTTGATTCCAATTCTCTCTCTCTCTCTCCATACCATTACTTTCATCTCTCATTTATTTTTCTTACAATTCTATCTCTTAATTTACTCTCTTACTTTTTCTCACTCTAAACTACAACTTCCCATTTATTTAGTATTTATTGAAAATTTAAAGCCTATTATGTATTTATTTGATATTTATTAAAGATTTTAAATATCCTATTAGGTATTTATTTAGTATTTATTGAAAATTTTAAAGGAGCTATAAGTAATTTTTAAGCATTTATTGAAAATTTATTAAGTGATTAAATATTTATTAAAATTTTTAAAAGCTTTATTGGGTATTTATTGAAGATTTATTAAAAATTTTAATATTTTTATACTCTTTTAATCTCATAATAATAGGTATTTTTTATTTAAAATTTGTTTGCAAATAATAGTCGTCTCTTTAGGAGACAAATATTTTTTGTACTTTAATCTTATCATTATGTTTTAATTTTGATAATCTATCAAGTTTTTAGTTTATTTATTGTTTTAATTTTGATAATCTATCAAATTTTTAGTTTATTTATTTTTTAAAAATAAAATAGGTAAAAATAAAATTTATCCCTAAATTTTTAATTTGATAATAAAATAAAAAATTTCATATATAACATGTATTTATTCAAGTTGAAGTTCAAATTTAATAAGAATTTGAATTAAAATCTAGAAGTTGAATCAAAATTAGATAATATACTATTCGAATTAGAATACAAGACTCCTAAGTTATTAATTGGGTTTTAAACTTTAAAAAAAGACTCATTAGATATTTATTTGAAATTTTATGAGTATTTTTAAAGAATTTATTGAAGATTTTCAAAAGTTCATTATATATTTATTTGAGATTTATTAAGAATTTTAACAATTTTTATAATACTGTAAGATTATTAATGTTTTTGCAGGTCCCAATCATGACAAGGATTATGCAACAATTGTATTTGATAAAATACGAACTTCGGATAATTATCGTGATAAGTTGCCCGAAAAGTTTAGTGTTGCATCGGATTTCTGGAATACTGAAATCAAAAGGAACAATATCACTACTTAAGTGAAATTTTATTAATTTCTTTTCTAATTTAGATTATATGTTTCATTATCTAAATAATTACTATTTATCTCTCTTTTCAGATTGAATTATTGGCTTTGCAGTATACATCCAATTCTCTATGATCCTGCTGACAAAGAAAGGTTTTTGATATTGATCAATAATATCATCTTTCGCTATGGATTAAAGGGTTGGCTGAATGGAAAAGAAAAACAATTTAATTGGATACACTTCTTAATCACATGAAGAGTGCAAAAAAGGAAAACTGGAATGCATATGAAGAAATCCTTCGGTACAAAGCTGGACAAAGTGGTGGGTCGGCTTCAAAAAAGGGAAAGCTGGAGGAACCTCTCTCTTATTCTGCAGGTTCTGATATTGTAAGGTTTACGAGAAATGCCTTGACGCATTTTGAAGAAGGTTATAGAAAAGGCAATGTAAGTTGTTGCTACTTTTATTTATTTTTTTTTATAGGAGGTAATTTTTTTTGAACAGATTGAAATTATTTATATATATTAATTGAGGGAAGGAGAAAAGAATTCGGTGAGATTAGAACATGTCACTCACAAAAGGTAAACTACTCTAATACAGGGTTAATGCCACTGGATTGGAACTAGCTATTTTTATAAGAGGTTAATTAAGTTGTCTATGATTAGAAGGTAATTAAGTTGTTTATGATTAGAGAGTCTTTTACCATGTCTTACTAATAAAATTTTAGTTAAAATAATACTTATTAACTTAAAAATATTAATTTAAATTTAAGGTTGAAGTCTCGAAACTTTGCTTACCAGAGTAGTTACCACTTATATGTGCAATATATATGTATATATTTATATAATATTTTTGGTTAATTAGAAAGTCTTAATAAGGGTAAAACTGTACAAATAAAATCAATGATAATTTAGCAAATAAATTAAGCCATCTCTTTTTAGATAGTGTGACAAGTAAATTATTCTGGATTAAGGTTTTTTTTTTTCTTTTTCTTTTTCTTGCATTATAACTGCATTCCCTATTATAATTCTTTATAATGTTTTCTATAGGATATTACTTGGTGTCATGATCTGGATGATCATAAGCGCGAGATTGTGGAGATACTAGATGATGAACTTAATGTCTGCTCTATACATTATGACATTGCAAGGACAATTATTGCAACAGATCTACCAGAGAACCATACGTAAATGCTAGTAAAAAATGGCGTGTACGATTTTTATTTTATGATATTTTTTCTAACATGTTAAACTAAGTTCATATCGTTTTATTGCAGGGAAGAGGGTTGGAATAACTGTCGAGCAAATAAATGGGAAGAATTAAAGTAAATGCTACTCCCTTCATTCTAAAATAATTATTTTTATTTGTTGCAAATTAAAAGTCTAAAGATAATTTATATATTTACCTATATCATCTTTAAAAAGAGAAAATGATAAATAAAAACTTAGTGATAGATGAATAATTAAAGGTGAGGAATAACTATAGGATTGAAGTAATAAAAATTATTTGTTTTCCTTAAACTTGAAAAAAAAAAAGATAATTAATTTAAAACAATTTTAAAAAAATACCACTATTTTGGGTCACATGGTAGATGAATAATTAAAGGTAAGGAATAACTATAGGATGGAAGTAATAAAAATTATTTATTTTCCTTAAAACTTAAAAAAATAAGAAGATAATTAATTTAAAACAATTTTTTAAAAAATACCACTATTTTGGGTCACATGGAGTAGTAACAAATTGCACGTATGCTCTTATTTTTATGATTCGCTACTATTAAATTGAGTACATGTCTTTTTCCTTTAGGCAACGGGATCCAAGGGCAGAAGCAGTAATTAGACAAGCTTATCAACCAACGCAACTAGAAGTCAGGTAAATGCTACTCTCTTTTTCCCAAAATAATTATCATTTTTTTCTTTTTTAAGAGAAATATACTTTTTTTACTACTTCACCTTATTATTATCTTTATTTTTAATTATTCACTTAATTATCATACAAATTGTTCCCAAATTCTTAATATGCAAATAAATTTAAAAACAACAAATTTTAGAACAAAATACAAAACTGCTCTATTACTTTTATTTTATGATATTTTTTCTAATGTTAAACTGGGTACATATATCTTTTTTTTTTATAGGGACAGTTCCAATACGTGGATGAAAGCAACAGAATTTATTCGACTTTATCAACCACAGAGTCTTTTGACGAAGTAAATGCTAAATTGCACATATGCTTTTATTTTATAACAATACTATAATTACAAATACTATAGTTATAGGACTATATAAAATTGTAAATTTACAATTATGATATAGTATTAAACAAGTTGATGCACATAATATTTATGATGAATCCCTAAATGAAAAGAATCAATTATATAATAATATATTATATTATAAATTTATAATATTATGAGATATTATAATTATAATAATTTTATTTATTTTCTAATTTTTATTTTACTGTTAAATTGAGTATATATATCTTTTTCTTGTAGGAACCAGCCCTATTGTTGGATGGAAGCAACAAAAATTAAAGATGCTTATCTGTTAGAACTTTTAACCTAAATGTTACAAAGTTGCGTACATGCTTTTATTTTATGATAATTTTTCTAATGTTAAATTGAGTACATTTCCTTTTCTTGTAGGAAGGGGGATTTGGAGCCGACTTGGATGAAATTTAAAGAAATTAAAAAAATATATAATTCATCTGAACAACTGGAACTTTTGACGTAATTGCTACAAAATTGGGAGTATATTTTTATTTTTATGATATTTTTTCTAATGTTAAATTGAGTACATATATCTTTTTCTTGCAGGAACGTGTCTGGTTGGATGACAGTAATGGAATTTTTTCAACATGCTCAACCAAAGCAACTTTTGGTGTAAATCCTACAAAAATTGCATATATGCTTTTATTTTAACCTTTCCGTTCCAAAATAACTGTCATTTGGAGGACAATAATTATATTTATTTATAATATCACTAAAAAAGTGTAAAAGATAAAAGAGATATTTTGTGGTTGGATAATTAATTAAAATGAATGAATAATAATATGATTAAAGTAAAAAAAAAATTTATTTACCTTAAAAAATTAAAAAATTAATAATTAATTTATGACAAATTTCAAGTAAAAAATGATAGTTATTTCGAGACGGAAGGAGTTATATTTTCTTCTGCCATTAAACTGAGTACATACATCTTTTTAGGTACAAGGACTGTTGTTGGCTGGAAGCAACAGATAATTCAGGGTGTTCTGAATCGCCGGAACATTGCACGTAAATGTTACAAAATTGTGTGTATGCTTTTATTTTATAATTTTTTTTTCATATTAAATTGAGTATTTTTTTTTTCTTGTAGGAATACGGACAACAATCATTGGATGAAAGCAACAGACATTTTAACAGTTCCTAATCCACCGAAACTTTGCACGCAAATGCTACAAAATTATGTGTATACTTTATTTTATGACATTTTTTCTCATGTTGAATTGAGTACATATTCTTTTCTTGCAGGAAGGAAGGTCAGAAGCTAAGTTGGATGGAATTTGAAGAAATTAAAAATAAAACTAAGCAACCAGTAGAATTTCACATGTAAACGCTACAAAATTGTGTGTTTGCTATTATTTTATGATATTTTTTCTAATGTTAAAATTGACTCTATTTCCTTTTCTTGCAGCTTGGAGGCGAATTCGAAGGAGCCGGTTTGGAAGGAATTAGAAAATATTAAAAAAGAAGCCAATCAACAACTAAAGCTTTTAACGTAAATGTTACAAAATTTCGTGTATGCTTTTATTTTATTATTTTATTGCGAAATAAGTACATATATCCTTTTTGGCAGGGAGAAGCAGGGTTGGAAGCAAGCTAAAGAAATTATTGAAGATGCTCAACCACCAAGGCTTAGGGTGTAAATGCTACAAAATTGTGTTTATGCTCCTATTTTTAGGATATTTTTTCTAATGTTAAATTGAGTACGTTTTTTTTTTTCTTTCAGGAAGAAGGGCTTGTACAAGTATTGGATGGAAGCATTTGAAGCTGATCGACCAGAATTTTTAACGTAAATGATAGGATAAGAGTGTGGGTATACTTTTATTTTATGATTTTTTTTATTACCGTTAAATTGAGTATGTATTTTTTTCTTGCAGAGAGCAGAATTGGTTCAAAGCAAGAGAAGAATTAGCAAACTTCTTCAACTCACTAAAATGTAATCTAATCTAATTTCCTCTCCTATATGTTGAGTTTTTTTAATTTTTGTCTTAAGGATACAATTTAATTATGTCTTAGGGATACAAGTAATTATTGCATTAATTAATAATTAAAAATAAACACAAAACTAATATTAATTTCACTACCAATGTACTCCTGAGTTCTTGTGCTGTCATTGAAGATTGGGCAACTATTTTTTTTTTTTTTTGGTATTTCTGGAAGCAAATTAAAGCTTTTAAAATATGAAAGGAGTTTACATAATGTTTTGCACATTGTGTCATATCTGTGTTATCTTTTCAAGGTTGGTCTTAGCATTTATAAGCATAGTATTTCTTGCTGTTCCCTAACTATTTTCTGATTTCTATCTTGCATGTGTAATTGGGGCAGAGAATATGATTGGACTTGAACGTGGATTGTGTCCGTGTAAAATGGTAGCATTCCAGTGTTCCCCTAGTGCTATGCATGAAATTGATGTGTTTGATGTTATTAACGTTGGTTATTGTTAATACTGACATTGATGGATTCTTAATGTTGTTATTATTTGCTAATGTCGCGTGGGCTCGGAAGATGTTTATGTGCTTATACATTTGTAAAATGTTTATGTTAGTTTGCCTTTTTGTTGTTTATTTTTATTTATCAAGATTAATCTTGTAATTAATCACTCCAAAGTCCTTAATCCCACTTGCATGGTAGTGTATTTAAAGCCCATTTGGTTATAGAGAGCCAACTTTATTGAGAGTTTTATTGAAAAGTGATTAAAATTGTGTTGTATGAAAAGTTAATAAGGCTAGGTAAATTTTATTAGAATTTTGTTAAATTATTAACTTTTCCTTGTTTGGTCTAAAATTGATATTGTAAAAGTTAGTATGAAAATTATCGAGTGACATTTATATAGAGAAAGAAAAAAAAACGTTTCTCTTTTCCAGAAGTGTGAGAAGAAACTTTGTGAAGAATAAAAGTTTTAGGAAGTTTCAGAAAGGAAAGTGGCTTGGCAATCACACAACCCTTTAGTTTGAGGGTGTTAGAAGACATAACTGGATGTTTTCCTTAGAGTGGCAGTTGAATTAGATGAAAAGATCCATATATTTAGTTGAATTTTCAAGCTGTGCTTCAATTGGAGAAAGAAGACATAAAAACTGTTTGTTGAAGAAATTGAAGAAAGCAACTGGTGGAAGCTACCTGATCTAACAGGTGAGATGCATCCACCAATATGAGGTACATTAAAATGGGGGCCTTTTTTCAATTTACAGCCAAATTGGTTTCACAACTGGTAGTTGTTCCAGTGCTTTTGCTTCTTATTGCACGTAGCAGGAACCTGGTTCAAAAGGGGCAACTCGGCTTGGTCCATATAATGAAGCAGCAGCAACTCCTCTTTGATTCAGTAAACATCTGAAATAAGCCAACCTTCCAGTAACTTCACTTGGATCCTCGTCAAGCTTGTCATATGGTATCCACGGTCGCTCTTCATAAAAATGGACAGGGGAAGAGG